AATCCAACACAATATACACATAACACCCTCATCAACAACATTACAATCTAATACAACTATCTAATACAATCTACCACAACGCAGCACAATCCAACACAATATACACATAACACACTCATCAACAACATTACAATCTAATACAACTATCTAACACAATCTACCACAACGCAGTACAATCAACACAATATACACATAACACATTTACAACATTACAATATAATACAATTACCACAATGTGGCACAAATGCAGGGCAACACAGCGCAATCAAGGCCGTACGCAGGAAATTTTCTGTAGGGGGCAAAGGTACTCCCCATGCCCCCTGTGCCCTAAAGTTTCGCAATTTCACATTTCTTTATTTAAAGTGTAATATTTCTTTGATGATTTAAGATAACCTTTTGTCACATTTCTATTTTATTTCTAGAAGTGTGCAGTATTTGTCCCATTAAAAGGCATACTCTGAAAATCTCTAGGGGGGCAACTGCCCCTGCTGCCCACCTGCTGCGTACGGCCCTGAGCGCAATCCATCACAATATACAGAACAAACATATCAACAACATTACAATCTAATAGGCCTACAATTTACCACAACACAGTACAATCCAACACAATATACACAACAAACATATCAACAACATTACGATCTACTACAATTTACAACAACGTAGCACAATGCATGGCAACACAGCGAAATCCATCACAACATACACGTAACAAACTTATCAACAATATTACAATCTACTACAATTTACAACAACGTAACACAATCCAGGGCAACACAGCTCAATCCAACACAAGGCACACATAATATAACAACTTATCAACAACATTACAACTTAATACAATTTACCACAATGTAGCACAATGAAGGGCAACACAGCGCAGTCCGTCACAACATACACATAACACACTTATCAACAATATTACAACGTAATACAACTTACCACAACGCAGCACAATGCAGGGCAATGCAGTACAATTCATCACAAATTCACAATTGCATAATAAATTCGACCATTGTATAACTGTGTATAAAACAACATATACGTATCAAGGTGACCCCTAGATCACATATACCGTGAGATGATATAGTGTCGAGAGTAGGCACATCAGCACAAACCTGGTGCAAACTTACCTTTCCTTCACAAGAATCAAAGTACTCATCAGAGAAGTTGGCATAGCACTTGAGTAGGTTTGCTTTGATGCCTCTAGGGGGCTCTACTGTCATCTTAGAGCCATTCTGCAGGATGGACACTGGGAATTTCGGACTCGGCATTGAGGTCATCCATGCGCGAAAATCTCTGTGAACCTGCAGCGGACGTTACAACATCAGTCTATGTATATACTGTCAGAATGGCATATTATATACTGTCAATGTAGAAAGTGTGCAGGAGTGAATAAAAACAAATAATTGTAACTTCTGATGTGTACACTCATGCAATATACGATGAATATAGTCATATAGAATGATTATAGTCTCAGTGACAATAACGTTACCATACAAAGCGTAACAGTAGACACTCGCGCACGCACACGTGTGCGCACCGCACATGCACAAAAGCACGCACGCACGCACGCACGTACGCCTGCATGAACACCTGCTTGCGTATACGCACATAGGCACGCACGCACGCACACACGCACGTATGCAGGTACACACGAACACCGCACATGCATACAAGCTCACACGTACGTACGCACACACACACGTATGTACAATATCTGATATGTTTATATACCTTCTCGGGATCTATTTGCTCGATAAGTCGTTCGAGGCTTGGCATCCAGCTGGGAGCGAGGTGACAGTTCTGGAAGAACACCCACTTGCCCCTCTCCAGGGCACTTCTCAGCATAGCCTCTGCTCGGGGACCCTACATTGGTTACCACACATACGCATACAACACGTACAGGTATAACTGCCAGACGGAGGTCACAATCATCATGCCAACAGACTCCTGACACGAGCAATAGCAGAGAGAAACCTGTCATGAACTCAGCACTATAACGTAGGTTTAATTGCTAAAAAAAAACAGCGTTACGTTACGTTACGTTGCTATAACGTATGTTGAGGGTAATTGCTCAAAAAAATCAAAAGCCAAAGCATTTTCAGTATGCGAAGCCACACCTGGCCTTGGCCGAGAGATATCGAGTTGAGCTTCTTTGAGAATTTCATTTCCTCGGCAAACTTGTTGAGATCTGCGGCGGGATCCGTGCCCGGTGACAGGACGAAGATCAGTGGGCAGGTGGGAGACGAGTCCTTAAACACCTCCGACAGGTCCACCGCCTGCAACGTGACACATGATTCTAACCATCGACTAGTCTCAGCAAACAACAAAAAATTGAGGTGGAAATTTTCTCATGCAAAAACGCAGGCTTTTAGTATCATTGTGTCATAACTCGTGTGGCGTTTCTGGGGTGAAGGTGAATGTGAGCAGCAGTCAATAAAGGACTTTGACATGCAATCCAAGAAAAAATGTGACTGCAAAAAATAATGTTGGCTGCAGTCCAAGAAAAATGTGACTTGTGATCCGAAAACCATGTGAGCTGCAGCCTAAGAAAAACATGACGTGTGGATCAAGGACAATATGACAGGGTTTAAAAAGAATGTAATTTGCTGTCTAAGGACAATATGACGTGCTACCATGCAAGCCCCCCCCCCCGGTGTAAAAGCAATAATCATACCTGTGGCTCAATGAACTTTTGTCCCAAATTTGCAGCTACAAAGTCCTGGAATGCATTTGTCACTTTATCGGCTCGAAGGCACCGTAGAATGAGTATCTTCTGGAAGGGTTGCATTCTCGCTTCCCACTCACCCGGGAGAGCCTCTCTGTAAAAACACGTGTATCCCATGAAAATGCACTTAAGCACCACTAAAAGCCCACAAGCCGCTTGTATCAGCTTAGAAAGTGACTAGCGAGGATTATGATGGAACCACTTGTGCGGTAGTGGGATAAAATGTTGGACAACAGTTTGATAACTAATTAATTATTAATAAATTTAAAATACATAAAAACCTACGACGTTGAGTGTCTGTGTTTTAAGCGTTAAGGCAACCGCTGTCACAACTCGTTATGTACGTCGTGTGATTTACCTGTGTGGCTCGACAGAGTCGAATATCGCTCTCAGTCCCACCGCGCAGTTTTCAAAATCGTCCACAAAGTCGGTGAAGTTTGGGAGTGCAGCGAGGGTTAGGAACTCGTCCCACGCACGGTCGGACAGCCACTCAGAAGCCGGGTTGGGTCTCGGATTCGGCGCATGTGTGCCACCTGCCAGTAGATAGCGCCACTCGTCCTGCACGGGAACAGAAGACGTTTGTGAACAATTGTGATGCGTGTTCGCGGCACAGGGATCAGTGACATGCGTCAGACGTTGCTGAGCTGTTAAAATTGCACACATCTAACCGATAGCAAATTGGCAATACCAAGATCCCATTAACATTCCAATGGGCTTTTGGTGATACGAACCTGAAAAGTTGCAAATAAAAAATTGCCTTACGTGTAAAAAAAAGAAAGAAAAAAAGCCTGAAAGGATTGCCACGCGTGCATATCTACTCAAAGCCTCAAATTTCTTTCATTCTTTTCATAAATTATGTTTTGCAGCCGATATAGCCATACAACAGGCATAGCGTTGATTGGCTATTAGTGTACCGGAGAAAATCAGATTGCATGGGTTATTTATTCAAGGTAACGATCATGCCCACGTGTTTCACCGTGATGTAAGTTACACACGCATTTGTTGAATAACAGGCTCTTTGTGTTTTGAATAATATACACCCTACGACCACCTACGCCCACAAATTGCTCAGGAGACTATAGCCATTCACGGCCTTGGGTATCCGATGACATTGACATACAATAGTACATGACAGCAATCAGCTAAATTTCAATCACGCTGCCAATGAAACTACCAATCGTGAAAATACCTACCTACCGTTGAAGAGCTACCTTACATAACCATCATAATAAAATGACAGTGTAGAAAAGACAAAGTCGCTACACAAAGTGGTCTTGTCTCAACTAATTAGTGCCAGGTAATAATTAGAAACGCGTAATTACGGTGAAAAGTAATTAGTATCGGGCAAGCAGAATACGTGCTGCTGGAGGCACCTTGAATTGGTGTCATGCTAGCATGGGGGGTGGTGAAAATATTAGGGACCTCGATAATGACGGTACTTACCGGTTCATGATACCACCTATTAAGTACAGTGCTATCTACAGAACCATAATAAACACAATGACATCGTGTTATCTACATAGTCCTAGAACCATGCCCAGGGCTGTGGCATCACCTACATACTAATGGCACCACCCACAAAGCCATGACACTACATACAGGCCCAACACACAATCTCAATAGCCGTATCTTCACCCACAGCCGTGGTGCCCCCTACATAGTAGTGGCGCCACCTACATAGCAGTGGCGCCACCTACATATCAGTGGCGCCACCTACATAGCAATGGCGCCACCCACAAAGCCATGACACCACATACAGGCCCAACACACAATCTAAATAGCCGTATCTTCACCCACAGTCGTGGCGCCCCCTACATAGCAGTGGCGCCACCTACATAGCAGTGGCGCCACCTACATAGCAGTGGCGCCACCTACATAGCAGAAGCGTTACCCACAGAATTATGGCACCACACACAGACCCAACACTCAATCAACACAGCCACGACATCATCTACTACAGGTCGGCGCGGTGACGCCGCCCACACATAGCTGCGGCACGCACCATGTCAATGCGGTTGTCGTTCATCATGATGCGGGTGCAGAGCAGGAAGGCGAAGAGCAGCTTGTGCTTCTCGAACAGCGAGCGGCACACGTTGCTGTAGAGGCTGAACGTGAAGCGGGCGTCGATGTTCGCGATGCGCTGTTCAACCACGTCTGCGAAGAGATAGATGAAGCATGCATTACGTCTGCGGAGAGATAGATGAAGCATGCATTACGTCTGAGGAGAGATAGATGAAGCATACATTACGTCTGAGGAGAGATAGATGAAGCATGCGTTACGTCTGTGGAGAGATAGATGAAGCATGCATTACGTCTGTAGAGAGATAGATGAAGCATACATTATGTCTGTGGAGAGATAGATGAAGCATGCATTACGTCTGTAGAGAGATAGATGAAGCATACATTATGTCTGTGGAGAGATAGATGAAGCATACATTACGTCTGTGGAGAGATAGATGAAGCATACATTATTCATCTATCTCTCCACAGACGGCATACATTACGTCCTTCATCTATCTCTCCACAGTAATACATGGTCTGTGGATAGATAGATGAAGCATGTATTACGTCTGTGGAGAGATAGATGAAGCAACGTAATGCATGCTTCATCTATCTCTCCTCAGACGTAATGCATGCTTCATCTATCTCTCCTCAGACGTAATGCATGCTTCATCTATCTATCCACGTAATGCATGCTTCATCTATCTCTCCTCAGACGTAATGCATGCTTCATCTATCTCTCCTCAGACGTAATGCATGCTTCATCTATCTATCCATGCTTCATCTATCTCTCCACAGGCATTATGTCTGCGGAGAGATAAACCGAACATGCGTGCACTGATTAATTATGATTTCTACTCCAACGAAACCCTACATTAACCCCCACCCCACTGCATTACACCTCTCTTTTTGTAGTGCCAAGCGATGTCATGCAATAGCGATTCAAGGTTTTTACCATTTTGCCTTTCAAAGATTAAAAAATGAAAGTAAATGTCAAGTGACATGGTACGAGGTAAGTTAATGGCATATATACAAGCACTCAGGCACGCAAGCTCGCATACACGTACGCACATACATGCACATATAAATCTGATACGTACAAACGTGATCATAAAGCCCGGAGTACACGTGAGTAATTTTACTCAAGTAAAATGACGCATGCGTCAAAATACTCACGCGAAATATTATCTGCGTCCGCCGCACACGTGAGTAAAAGTACTCCAGGTATAAGTGGCAATGCTGATCACGTGACTGTGCGCAGCCAATACTGGGCGCACAATGATTTAAACGCATGCGCTGTGAATACCAGTGTTGAGTAAATTTACGCAGCTAGTGCGCAAACGGTGAGTATTTTGACGCATGAGTAAAAAATTATCAAACATGTTTGATATTGAGTTTCTTGATGCATGCGTCAGAAAACTCAACGAAAATCCGGCGCACACGTGAGTATTTTGACGCATGCATAATTTTACTTGAGTAAAATTACTCACGTGTGCGCCGGGCTTATAACACACGCGCATTTGCGCTCACGCACGCACGCACACACGCACCCCGGGTGGTCCACCCGCCCGTAGGCGCGCAAGCACGCACGCACGCACACACGCACACACGCACGCACTCACACACGCACGCACGCGCACTATCTCTGACCTGCTCGCTCGGCGTTGGCTATCGCGCCGAGGAAGATTCCGTTGAACCACTCAAGGCTGTACTGATACATGGGGTCGATCAGCGAGAGATCGCTCATGCAAAAGAATAGGATTTGCGCGCGCACGGCGACGGGGATGTACTGACTGCGCGTCGTGTCGATTTCCAGCTCCGTCTTTTCGGCTGCAGCTACCTTGGCCTGCGAGAAAGAGAGAGAGAAAGAGAGAGGGAAGCTGATCAGATTCTGTGTTCTGATCTCATCAGCTCAAGCAGGAGCTCAGCGGGAAATTGCTGGCCGCCGTTAAAGCTGCTCGACTATATATGACTGACTAACTTACTTGCTATGCTGACTTACTACGCTACATGACTATATATAGCGTAGTAAGTCAGCATAGCAAGTAAGTCAGTCAGTCATATATAGTCATGTAGCGTAGTAAGTCAGCATAGCAAGTAAGTCAGTCAGTACATGACTATATATGACTGACTGACTTACTTGCTATGCTACATGACTATATATGATTGACTGACTTACTTGCTATGCTGACTTACTATCACGCGCCTTGGTTTGCTAAGATATCCTACGATCACGAGGCCTCAGCTTGCATATCAGTTTGAAACCCTCTGAGCGAAAGACATTACGGCAGTGTGACACCGCTGCTCACCCATCGCATAGAAATTCGGTACGCTCTCTGGACTCTAGCAGCCATTGTTTTTTATTCAACAGCCCCACGTCCCCTAACTCTCAATGCATCTCTGCGAATTACAGAAGCGATACGGGCAGCAGCAGAGTCAGTCGTTGCCGCTTAGCAGCTGCTCTGACGTATGGGAAGGAGTGTTCAGTTCAAGCTCGCACGACGCTCAAGCTCGGCAGAGACGAGTCTCATACGATTTCACGCTGTGCATGGCATCGTCAAAAAGCAGGCTCTTAGGAAGCTAGGGCTTAGCGGCGTGCAGGGCATGATAACGCAGCTTTAACGTCGAAGCCAGCCAGCTTGATGAACTGCGGTCGCCGGAGATTTAGCTCATTGTGGATGTATAGCGCCGCGTGCTTTGTGCCGTGCGCAACGAGCAGAGATCGTTTTACAATAGCAAAGAGAGAGAGAGGGAGGGAGCGAGAGAAAGAGAGAGAGAGAGAGAGAGAGAGAGAGAGAGAGAGAGAGAGAGAGAGAGAGAGAGAGAGAGAGAGAGAGAGAGAGAGAGAGAGAGAGAGAGANGTTTAGATCAATTGTGGATGTTTTAGCGCCGGTGGCACGAGCAGAGATGTTTTTACATAGCAAGAGAGAGAGAGAGAGGAAGAGGGAGATAGAGAAGACGAGAGAGCGGCAACGAGAAGATGAGGGAGGGAGGAGAGAGAGGGAGAGATAGATAGTAGAGAAGAGGGAGACGAGAGGACTGAGATGAAGGGAGAGGTAGAGAGAGGTAGAGAGAGAGAGAGAGGAAGAGAGAGGGAGAGAGACGGAGAGAAAGAGAGACGGGAAGAGAGGGAGAGAGAGCAGGGACGAGAGGAAAGGGAGAGGAAAGAGAGAGACGAGGAGATGAGCTAGAGAGAGAGACGAGACGACGATGGAGAAGAGAGCGAGAGGAAGAGAGAGAAAGAAAGGGAGAGGAGCGAGAGGGAAGAGATGAGAGAGACGCGAAGAGGAGAGAGAGAGAGAAGAGAGAGAGTAGAGAGAGAGAGAGAGAGAGAGAGCCTGATTAGGCTGCATGATCTGCGCTTAATTTCGTGATAGCGCTGTCATAAGATTTGACCATAGAAATATAATATAGATAACCATGGTTAACTATGCGAATAGCGTCGCAATTTTGCAAACGGTGAATGTTCGCGAGGTCGCAGCGACGTTGCAAGCTAGTTTCGACGACGTTTCGCCTCGCATATCTAAGTGCCCTGGCCGATTTTTTTTCGTACTGTTACTGGTCGTAGCTCGCGCGCCCAGTTACATATTACGCATTTTAGCTATTGGCCCTGTACTCTGAAGATGTCGGAACTAGGCTGACCAAAACGATTAAGTAACCTAACAGGCAAACTGATTTTCCGTCGAAATTTCAATACCCAGTTAATTTGATAGATGGCGCCCATTGGCAGCTATGTATAGGGCCCTACGTAGATATTATGTATATAGCCTCCCAAACAGTTCAAAATCCGCGCATACGCATATTCTAAACACAGCAGTTCAATCACCGTGAAATGTGGAAAAGTGCTAATATCTCCATAGAAACGCTGAAGTTGCTGATTTTTCAAAAGCTATTTCTCGAAACTCACAACTCCGATTCCAAAAATGTTGGTTCCGTTGTAATGCTAACATATTTAAAGTTATTACGTCACCGTAAATAGTAAAAATAAAAAACATTATGTCCACTTATTCACAAAATGTAAGTGATTCTGTTCACTTTTTATGGTTAAATTGCTGCTTTATACTTCCTATTTTGCTATTCCGTTCGATGTAAACAAACACTCGTAACTCATACATAACCCATAGCAAGCGTTTTAATGTCGTTATAAATATATCAAATCGCCCAGTTTTTTGGATTTTTAATTAGTTGAGAAACAATCTTATCAGGTAAGAATTTGAGGATACATTTAGTCTCGCGTTAGTACTTACTTTTAATGTAAAAAAATTGCAACAAAAACTTTACAAATATACACCATAAAAAATTCGTAACGTAGTCAATAAGGAAAAAAACGGTCCCTGGAATTATTATATTTTAGAGGTTATGGCTCTTTGTTTACGAAATTGTTGTATTTTAAAAATCATTAGAAATTTTCGTGCATCTTCTAAATTTAAATTAAACTTATTTCCTAAATTAAAGCATTAAAAAAATCCAGGGACAGTTTTTTAGTTAATATTATTAACAACTTATGGCTAAAAGTTAGGTCCCAACTCTGCTGTTTCTGTGAAATAAGAAAAAAACAAATTTTTATATAAATTTACAATATATAAATGCCGTCACGTAATTAGCGATGAAGTTTTTTGATTATTTTCATCGAGAACGTAGAGAGACATCTCTTTTATGAAATAGATATGAGTTTGATTAAATTTGAAGCGCAGTTATGTTGCAATGCACTTTCCACTGCACTGTGCCATTCCACTGGGCCGTTACAGAGGTACCTGTCCGTAACCCTGACTGTTTCCTTAAGGTATAGGCCATTTCCTCATTTATTTCTATCCAACAGCGATAGCGACGTCGCGCAACTGTACGCCGTCCCACAGGAGGGCAATACCTTTGTACACGCGAGCTTCAGGAAGCCTTTGAAAGTGTACGGATTGCGATCGTTGCACTCGCGTTATCACAAGCGTGGAAATATTAAAAAAAATTTAGGAGCACTACAAGTGCGGGTCGATAAACACATAGAGGAATACCAGGAGGGCATACGGGTCTACATAACGGTGTTTACGCGTCTACATTTAGGACGGGTTTAGGGTAATTTAAAGCAGGTTTAGATCTATGAGCGGGAATCAAACGGCATTTTTGGGTAATTATAAACCAGCTTTAAGGCAGATTATAGCAAGCGTAGGCACGTTTATAGCACCCTTACTCTCTTACTACCTCGCTCTCTTCGCGCGCTACGAGCGGCGAGAGCGAATTGTCCGGCGCCCATGACCTCTTAATTGATATGTGAACAAAGATTCATCGCAGTGCACTTCACCTTCATTAGAACGTTTGTTCACGTAGCTAATTGCACAGGTGTTACACTCATCAGACGCCGCCGCCGCCGCCGCATGATGAGCATGCCCATACAGCGCCGCCTGCCGTGCCGGATGTCTAATCACGTCCATCTATTACGTCATCTGAGCGTATCGCGATTAACTACAACAAAGTGCTTCACCGCTCTTAATTAGAATACATTTGCATTGGCGTGACCGTCGTCAACGAGCGGTTGCTTGCGAAAACATTCTGGCGTGCTGTGTTATTAACTCCTAATGAGAAGGCAAGAAATATGATAAATAAATTGAGAGAGGGAGGGAAGAAGTGAGGGAGAGAGAGATGAAGGGAGGAAGAGATGAAGGGAGGAAGGAAGGAAGGGAGGAAGGGGGAAGGGAAGAAGGGAGGAGAATAGAGGAAAGGAGAGAGGAAGAGAAGGGGGGAGGGGAGGGAGGGAGAAAGAGATGTAATACATGTTCTACTCTATGCACCAACTAAACAGTTGCGTAGTCTGCTGCTGGCGGCACGTAGCAACAGCAGCATCTCTCCCACGTCCTCCCGAATCTCCCAGCTACCGAAGTGCTACACTAAAAGTACACTGGATATTTCTACTAGCAGTTTGCGTCGTTAGATCACGAGTACAACGAGACGTTGAAGAGCCGCGTGGATCCATACTACCAGTACGGGTCGCTCTACACCGCAGTCACGGCCGATCGTAAGAAATTACGCGCGCAAATCAGATAAATGTGCTGAAAAAGGTCAAATAATTATATCCTTTTGTTGTACTTCAGCGTGGTAAACTTTTTTCTTTATCGATAGAACGGGTTAGAACTCTATTGCAAATTTTATTTTCAAAAAAAACGAGAGTCCACACTGCATCTGATAGTGTGGGTGGCTAGTTCGGTTGGCATTCCTGCGGCCACCGGGAAATTATTAAACAAAACCTACAATTTGAAGTATAATCGCGTTAGAAAGTGGCCATTTCACGTGTGTGCCGGGAAGAGAAAAGTAGCTGTTTCAAGAAGAAATTATGGAAGTTTCAAATTACTTTGTATTCGTATTATTTTTGAGTTAACAACAGATATGGCGTTACTTGCTACGTCAATTCAGAGGGTGGCATTGTGATTTCTCAAAATTAACTTCCGCCGATCTGTGGAAGTTGTTTGGTATGCGATGTCGCCTTTCGGAAATTATTTCCCACTGTAATACCGTAACTGTAGCTGTGACGATCATTGCGGCGGCTACAATATCGCACTGCCCGAATACTGCGTGGGAAACACAACGACGCAATGCAGTGGATACTCAGAACACATGCCGTCATGAATAGTAAACGACACTCGATTCAAACTCCTCATCAGGTGATTGCGCTGAAGGCTTAACAATCTTCGTGATATCCGGCTCATACCCCTACAAGGTCGCTATGCTTACATACGCATAAATATGAGTGTGTAAAAATGTCAATAGGATTTTTCAATATATAGATATCCTATTTTGCAAAGCGATCGTATTGCTTGCTATACGGCATTTTTTTACTATGAATGAAGGGATGGAAGAGTAAAACTCCCGATACTGTTGCGTGATAAGACGGCGATACTGACTACACGAAAGATAGTCAAAGGATGATGATATGTGCCCTAAGGATCACAACACAGTCACATACGCACACACGCACGCACGCACGCACACACACGCACGAATACATACACGCACACGCATGAACACATCCGAACGCACATACATTCTGCTTCAACATGTCGGCTTTGATCTTCCCCGCAGCGCATTCAGGTCGACGATATGCTATTTGGAAACCCAAGAGGGTGACATAGAATAGTCGATCAACGTCACAGTGACGTCACTGCTAGCACCGTCGCCGATCGTTTGCCTTGCCACGTGCGCGAACCTACCGCCCCGCTACGCCTCTCTGTGTCTCTGTGTACGCACCACGCATTTAACAACGGCTAACAGCAACAAGCGTGAATATTTCATTCCGGCTGGCATCGGCTATTATAA